GAGATCTAATAGAAGTAGCAGCTGTATGAAAGCTTTGGCACTTACTGTGAAATTCCTATAAACAGCTCCAATATATATCTTAATGACCATTATTTTAAAGCACAGACCAAAATCCCTTTAGAATTTAACATCCTAATGTCCTCTATTTTGAAAAGAAAACAAAAAAACCTGCCATATATTTTGTTAAGAGTCAATGTTTCAACAATTACATTTCTGGGAATCTAACCGAAGTAATTCTATTATTTGTAACTGGGAAAAACGGGCAGTAACTTCGATGTCCAAGAAAACTGCAAATGTGGCACATGATGCAGATGGATTCATGACATAATCACTACAGGGTATTGATAATGTACTGTCAAAGTGTTCTGTGACAAAGTGAGAGAAGGATTGTGTGTATGTCTAGTGTGGAGTCAGTCCTGGCTGGCTCATATGCAATTCTGACTTGTCTAGCTTGTCTGACACAATTGTGAATTTAGTGGACACATAGGCACTATTTCCCTAAGCTGACTTCAATGAGCATTTTAATATTTTGTATTTTAGGCCAAAAAAGTCAGAAGATACATGCAGTTTCCTAGGGGATGAGGACACAGAGGACAGAGCAGAACTATGATTAACATTACCTTCTTTGATTTTTAAACTCCCTATAGAGCTTATGAGCAAAACCAAAATCTATTACATATTTTCACAGGACCATGTATCTCCGCTTTACTTCACTTTTCACAATGATAATCTGTGTAATTATTTAATTAATGTCCATCTGGTCTGTAAGACCCATTAGTGCACGTTGTGTGCTCTGCAGGTTGTGTGTTCATGAACCTGGCATGTAGTCGTGAGAGTCAAGGAAAGGCACGGGAGAGAAAGAAGAAAGAGAAGGTAAAGGGGAAAAGGAGAAAGAAAAGGGGCTAAGGAAAGAGGGAAAAACTGCAAAATGTTTATGAAGGACACAATGATTCGAGGAGACAGCACACTGTCAGATTAGGGGAGCACACTTTCATTGCTTCCACTTACAACACAGCAAGGCCAAGAATCAATGAAATCAACAGGAAGGGGGCAAGGGGATGCCTTGGCAGATGGCAAGTCAGGACATGGCAAGTCAGGATTCTCCAGCAGGACCAGCAGTGTGAGAGAGCACTGGCAAGAGTGACAGATGACCAGCAGGAATGTGGCAGGAGAGCAACATACTGAGGCATGCACTTGTTCCTGCATTTTCAGTAGTCTGAGGCCAGGGATACCTGGAGATATGGGGAAAGGGATGGGGAAATGCCCCCATAAGGCCTAAGTGTAGGTGGGGATATAAAGCCAGTAACATAGATATGTCAGTATTAGTATGTCTTGTTTATAACCTCAAGTGGCTACTGCTAAGGAAGGATATCTGATATATTCAATAATTAAAACCAAATAAAAGTTATCAAAATGATGATGAATTCAATGGTTATGATGGCTTTTCCCCTCTTAATGTTCATAATTAGTTACTTTTATAATTAAAATAAATACATAATAGGAAAAACCATGTCTCACTTGAAGAAAATAGAAGTGCTATTTTCTTTAAGCAGGTGCTAAGAATTTTGTAATCTACTGTTTCTGCCTTTCTGCCTTTCCCCCAGTTCTAAGAAAATTCAAGAATCAAATTTTGACTTCAATCACAGCAACAATTAGTGTAGTAATCTAGATAATTGCTTTCTTCTCATTCTATAGAGCCAAAGGTAACCAGAAAAAAAAAAATCTACAAAAGCTTTATTTTGTTTACTCCTGTTGACATGAATCTTTACCATGCTGGGGAGGAAAATTTTTCCTCTATCCTTCAAAGATTCTTCCCGCTGGTGGAACAATTAAGTTCAGATAGATTAGCAGGAGAAAATCAGATTTAATTTTGTATGTATGAGAACCCCACATACACAAGAAGAAGTTCAAAGACAGAAAGGTAAAATGGGAGTATATATGCCATCCTGAGCTACGGAATGGGAAGAGGCCTGAGACTTCAAAGAGGGGGTAAGGCAATTCACAGAAGAATAAGAGTAGATGTTTTAGATGTAATTAGAGGTGTGTGTGTGTGTTTAAGGTTTTATTTATTTATTTATTTATTTATTTGACACACACACACACACAAAGAGAGAGAGAGAGAGAGAGAGAGAGAGAGAGAGAGGCAGAGACACAGGCAGAGGGAGAAGCAGGCTCCATGCAGGAAGTGCTCAACCACTGAGCCACCCAGGCGTCCCATGTAAATTAGATGTTTACCAGAGATAGTCTCTGGTATAAAATTTTGTCTCTGGTATTAACTCTAAATCTGGGAAAGACCCCCCCATTTAAATTCTTCCAGATAGTTAAGAAAACGGCAAAAAAAATTTCTCTTGGTTCTGCAGAATGTCTATGGCCTTTAGCTTAATTATCACATGCCAAAGTGGCATATTTTAGGGAGACTTGCTCTGAATCTCTTCAACCACATGAGTTAGTCTTAAATGTATACTGTCCTTGCTATACTACTCACACTGTTATATGAGTATGAATTTACTTTTTAACTAGACCAGTAACTCTCAATGAGGGATATAAAGAAGAGAGAAGGGATTAGAAGATGAAAACATGGCCTGACAAATCAGATCAACCTGGAGGTCCCTTTCTAGATTACACAGCAGCTTACTTGCACCCTCCCCAAACCATAGGCATCACTGCCATTGTGGGATGACATACTTATGGGAGCTGTTATACCCTAGAGGGGAGTTAGGAGGCAAAAAGAATTAATAACCAGTGATGAGGTTTGTATTTTCACAAAAAGATCAATTTTGGAATCAAAAACTTATTGGTTTCAATTCTAGATTTCACATTTATCCTATGTTCCTCATTTTCAAATAGATATAGAAATCTCTTTCTTTCAAGACGCCTGGGTGGCTCAGTGATTGAACATCTGCTTTCGGCTCAGGTCGTGATCCCGGGTCTGGGGATCAAGCACCATACTGGGATCCCTGCGAGGAGCCTGCTTCTCCCTCTAGGTCTTTGCTTCTCTGTGTCTCTCATGAATAAATAAAATCTTAAAAAAAAATCCCTTTCTTACAATATATAAATATTAAATGTTTCTAAGTGCTAACAAATAGAGCTTAGTAAATGTCCTGTAGGCATTATTTTTCAAGTAGACTTAAGGGCTCCTCTATACTAGAGTTCTCAATCTTGGCACTACTGACAATATTAATGGACCTGGTAATTCTTAATTAGGGGGGTGTTATGGCCTAAGTTGTATTCCCTGACCCTGCCACTGATATATTGAAGTTGTAACTCCTGGCACCTCAGAATGTGAACGCATTTGGAAACAGGGTTTTTAAAGTGATATTTTTTTTTTTTTAAGATTTTTAAAGATTTTATTCATTCATAGAGACAGAGAGGAGCAGAGACACAGGCAGAGGGAGAAGCAGGCTCCATAAAGGAAGCCCGACATGGGATTCGATCCCGGATCTCCAAACCGCTGAGCCACCGGGGCTGCCCTAAAGTGATAATTAAGGTAGAGTGAAATCTTATGGATGGGCCTTGACCAATATGATTGTTGTCCTTTTAAGAGGAGATTATAACACAAACATATGCAAGCAAAGAGGAAAGATAATCTAAGGGCACAGCAAGAAGATGGCCATCTGCAAACCATGGAGAGAGATCTCAGAACCCTTCTGACAACTTCATTTTGGACTGCTAAGTACTGGGAGAGAAAAAAAAAATGTTTTGTTTAAGACTTGCACCACGGCATTTTGTTTTAGCTCACACCACGGCACCATGGCCTGAGCAAATACTGCTTGAGGGTTGTCCTGTGTGCTATAGTATGTTCAGAAGCATCCTTGGTCTCTATCCATACCAGTGGCAATCCCCCAACCCCCACAGTTGTGACACCCAAAAATGACTCCATACATTGCCAAATGTCTCCTAGGGGCAAAATCTTCCTCCCCATCCTACTGAGAACCATCCCTTCTGAGAACCACCATTTCAGATGGCCTCTGGTCATCTCTGTTTTTCCAGGGCTCAGTGATGTGGGAAACAAAGGCAGAAGAAAAATTATTACATTTCCTTTCTACCTATAGCCATTGACGGGTCCGTAACACAGAGTGACATTCCTCTAGGAATTCAGCTGCCACTTTGCTAAGGGCAAAAGGCAATCTTGGCCTGATCCCCAAGATCCTGTAAATCTACTAAACATAAAATTTTCTTTGGAGACTTCCATTATCTCTATCCCCCCTCTAAGACACATGGTGGCAATCATCCTCCAAGGATATGACCCACCAATATATCTGGAGAGTCTCAGGACTGAGTTTTTACTAAACAGTAATAAATTGACCTTTTCCTAACAAGAGCTAGCCCTCTCAAGGTCCTGGAAATCTTGTTGTCAAAATACCTAGGAGACTTAAGCTATGTCTAACCTCCTCCTCAACTTGAAAATATATAATGGGCCACTCCTCATGATCCGGTGCAGCTCTTTCTGCGCACAGGTCCTGTCCCCATGCTTTAATAAAACCACCTTTTTGTGCCCAAGATATCTTAAGAATTTTTTTGGCCAATGGCTCTGAACCCTAATGTCCTTCCTACATCACTCAGCCCAATGACTGCTACCTAAGAAAATAATCAAATATTTTCTGAACAAAATCACTTGCCTGGTTCCCTATCATGGGTCTCACTACTTGTTAGGCCAGTAGGATCAAGGAGGATTGGGAGGCACCAACAAAATGGCAGTGGACGCTCCATCTTGTTACCCCCACCTCAGAACTTTTTTCCCCATCACCAGCAGACCACCCAAAGACGCATCATCAGGGGGAGACAGGACCTATTGAAGAAACCTCCCCCCTTGTAAGTAGGGCCAGCCCTAATCCAGAGGCAGCCCATCCAGGCGTCTTCCTGAAATTTTAGCAACTAAAAGCATTCTGTTTACAATAAGAAAACCATGCCCCCCCCACACCCTGATTGGAATGTCCCTGAATAGGTTCATGTTGACCCTCCCCGAAATCAACCTGGATGCCATGCGACTCCCGCGGTTCTTTTGTCTTTAGGCAGTTTCTTTCTTTTGCCTTTTAAAAGATACCTGTAATTGCTAATCGGGGCTCTTTTCCTCCTCGGAGGCGGAGAGCCCGTTTGCGTAAACGTTCAATAAACCCTCTTGCTAATTGCATCTGCCTGTCTGGGGTCTGGGTCTCTGGGGCGTCCACCGGGCCACGTTGGCACCCGTGAGCCAGGGTCCAACACTATGTAGGAAACCTGAACCATACCTTCCATACCTTACCCAGACCCCATATAAGGGCATAAGCAGTTATGGCCCCTTCCGATTCCACCAGTAACATGCCCTAATACCTATCACCTTACAGACTCACAATCCCTTACCGCTCCCCCTTAAAAAGCCTGCTTGTACTCCCCTGGGCACAACTTTCCCTCCCGTGCCCACGGCTCCCCCACACTTTCCCTCCCGTGGGCCTTGGAACCTGAGGGCATGTCCCATTAAAAGCTTGCCTCGACCAACTTTTGCCTGGCCTATTTCATTTCACTACCAATCGGATTAAACCTGACACTACTCTCTTGCAAACTCCTTTTGCTGTGTTTAAAAAAAAGAAAGGAAAAGAAATAACTGACCCAAAATGGAGCCACTTGCCTCCACAACAGCAACCAAAACTTAATTGCATTACAGGAATGACTTTAACCAGTCAATCTGGAATTTCCTGATCAATATTAATGAGGTCATCTGCATGACAGACCTACCCTTCCCCCAAAAGGTGACCTTGCCTACAGCAATCCTTTTTTCTCTTGCTAATGACTTCCTTCCTTCTTTCCACCCTGTTTCTGCCATTAAAAACCACCTGTTTTGTACAGTGTTCATTTCTACTTGTAAATGGGATGCTACCCGATTCATAAATCCTTGAATAAAGCCAATTAGATTTTCATATTTGTTTGGATTTTTTTTTTTGCAGCTGCAATTAAAGTAGTAATTACTACTTTCATAACCATTTGAAGCTCAAGGAACTCAAAAGAAAACAAATGTCCATTTAAGTGTGAAAATGCTGAACTCTAAGTCATAATGAGACCCCACACATAATCCAGGAACCTGAAAGCATAGCAAAAAAGCCAAATTCAATGGAGACATTCTTTGGAAAGGGGAAGTCACAAAAGTCTCTGGCACATTCATAAATTTATTGTTTTAACATTGGTATGTGTGCTGTCATGTTATTTGAAAGCTGATGTGTTTGGGCTGGGAGTGATGTGGGGGCAGGGGTGGAGAGGGCTGGCTCTGAGATGCTGAAGAGAGGCTTTAAGGAACTCTGGATGGAACTGGGAACTGGTGGAGTTTGCACTGTCCAAAGATTTCTTACCAAATCTTTCCAATGATTTGTAGCTTGTACTCAACTATTCACAAGACACTTTTTCCAGGACATTATTTTAAATTGGTACAGTCTATTCATTTACAAAATTCATTTATTACATTCTGTTTAATAGCTAAGATTCAGAGTGTTAAAGATCTGATTTACCCAAGTGAAAAAAAAAAAGACTAATATTATTTTGAAGTGCCATTTCCTAAGAATATACCCAATGTTTGTTTCTAAGTTAGTGTTTGTGATTTTTAGTTTCGATATCAACATGCTACTCCAAGTGACAAATGACTACATTAAACTTGGGCAGACCATCATGTAAATGCTGTGACAGGCATGCTGGCATCCAGGCATCAGGGGCTGACATGCACCAAAGAGGTGATTTATGACATATTGCCTTTGCAAAAATACAAAAGCTCTTAACTCCTCAGATGCTCTTTGTGATAGAGAGGTTGAAAAGAATCTTCTTCTCAAGTTAGTTTCTCCATGGAAAAGGAGAATGCCTTAAGGATATCCTGAAATTTAGAAACAAAACCATTATAAAACTCTGTGCCAAAATGTCTATATATCCTGCAAAGCTGGCAGACTTGGGGATGTCAATATTTTTAGAGAGAGATGTTTTAGAGACAGGGTTTAATTGACCAAGTGAGGATGTTTTATAACTTTTTTTCCCAGGAAAGGCAAAAATAATGAAAATCAGCCAAACCATCAAATTGAGAAGTCAACACCTTCACTTGGGCATTTATGAATATGAAGTCTGTGTAGCAACCCAAAGTACCACACTCCAATCACCAGAGTAGAAAAGTCAGCACAGCCCTCGCTAATTCCTATTCCTCTTATTGCTCGGCTCAATCTCAGCATTCTCAGACGACCTCGTACGACGATTTTGTACTGGACTCATTTCTGCGTCTTGAAGATCAAGATCATTTCTGAAAACAGAAAAAAGGAAACAGCATTTCAGAACATAATGTTCATGATTATTCTACAGCAGCTTCTAGTTGACAAGTGCTTTCACACGCACAATTTCACTTAAACCTCCAGTTTTCTACTCTGGTAAATCTATAATAATTATTACTGTTATTCTTATACATATTTTATAACTCAGAAAACAGTGACTGAGTGGAGATTACAGGCCATAAGTGACAGAAGCAGGTATTGAACCCCTTTCTTCCAAATCAAAATCTAGAATAGCTTTTTATTTCACGTAACAGGAAGAAAAGTACCCTCCTGCCCCCGCCAAAAAAAGTGCTCCTATCCTAAGACAAAGTCAGAGTCTAACAAGATCAATTTTTTCTTGATCCTGAGAGCTGATGTTGTAAGGCAACCAAGAAAACAAAATTCCAAAGAAAGAAAAACCCCACCAAAGAAAGGTGGGCCACACAAATTCTCTCACTTTTGACACAGAACTGGAGAAAGGTGGCTGTTGTACAACCAGGTAAGAGGACATGAGCTAACTTTTTTTTTTTTTTTTTAATGAGCTAACATTTTAATGAATTCTGAACTATGGGCTAGTTCTGAAGGCCCCTGACATAAGGAGAGTCCACATGCACTGGCAACCTCTTCCAGGAGCCTCTATCAAGCGCTCATGAGAAAGACTGGGAACAAGGTGGGAGACTGGGGAGAGTCCATTTTGTTGGCACAGGATAAAGCTGATAAATGGAGGTGACAGGGTCAGGTAGAAAGCCCTACCTCCTCTTGGGACTGTTTCTTTCCTATGAGTAAGAGCTTTCAACTACTGCGGGAAACTCACTGGCCCAGGGGAATCAGGCAAAGATCTACGGTCTCTGGAGAAGGGGCAGAGGTCCCTAACTTTAAAATCCAACAGAGAGAACACAATGTGTCTCAGATCTCACTAGCAGAATGAACAACTAGAGGCAGAGAGGAAGCTGGATGGCTGTTGCAGGAAGCAGGAGGGAAGAGCAGAGGGCCTGCAGCCAGCTGTGGCATCAGCAACACCTGGGAATGTGTTAAAAATGCAAACTAGTAGGCCCCACCCCAAATCTACTGAGCCAGACTCTTAGAACTGGGTAAAGCCCAGTAATCTGTGTTTTAACAAGTCCTTCAAGTGTCTGTAATACATATTTAGGCCTGAGTACCACTTACCTATAGGATTTTGCAGTTGACTGAATATGAAAGGTTGGAGTTAATGAGAAGTGGAGAATGATTCCTGGGTGTCTGGCTTGAACAATGGGCAGGCTACCACACTACCATTCACTGAGAGAGGGGACAGTGGAGGGCAAGCAGCTCTGGAGAGAAGGGGCTCTTAGGCATTCTGAGGCAAACAGATTTTCCTCACATTTTACATATTTAAAAAACTGAAATCTAGGGGCACCTAGGTGGCTCCATCAATTGGGCATCTGCCTTCAGGTCAGGTCATAATCTGAGGGTCCTGGGATGGAGCCCCGAGTGGGGCTTCCTGCTTGGCAGGGAGCCTGCTTCTCCCTCTCCCTCTGCCTGCTGCTCCCCTTGCTTGTGCTCTGTGTCAAATAAATAAAATCTTAAAAAAAAATGGAAATCTAGAAACATGAAACAATATGTCAGGACCATTTTTCTGTTTTCATCCTGTTCAATGTAAATAAATTTTATAACTCAAAACAGTACAATGAGCCAATATTTACAGACATAAGAACACAAGATCAGGGCAGCAGCCCGGGTGGCTCAGCGGTTTGGCACCCCGTTCAGCCCAGGGCATGATCCTGGAGTCCTGGGATCAAGTCCCACGTCAGACTCCCTGCATGGAGCCTACTTCTCCCTCTGCCTGTGTCTCTGCCTCTCTCTCTGTCTTCCATGAATAAATAAAAACAAAAAAAAAACAAAAAAAAAAACAACACCAATCTGTAGAAAACTTTGTTTTTCTGCTGCTCATGAAAATATTGCTTCATATGAAGCACTGTATTGCTAATAGAACCTCTCAATCATTTATGGAATTAGGAGAATGTGTTGGAACTGAAATAGTAATGTTCTAGGACTAACATCTCAAATACACCACCTGTGGTACCACAAAACAGGCCTATTAGCTTAAGATGTAGAATTGCCAAATTTTGTTGAAAAGTAAAGCTGTGGAGGCTTTTCTTGATTCTGCCTCTACTGCTACATTAAGCATAACGTTGTTTGAACTATTCTATGCTAGGCTGAAGTTGGGAGGCCTGGATTCTGATCTTGGCAGTGCCACTAAATGGCTGTGGATCTTGACCTGAACAATTTAGCACTCTGGAACCCAGCTTCCTTCTCTATAACATGAAGGAGTTAGACAAGATGAGCACATAGATCCTTCTAGCTGTAACATTTATAATCCATGAATATTAATAGATGGGATTTGTCTTAAGTGCTTTCTTAAAATGGTAACTTTTGGAGGCCATCAGTATCAAGAATGGGCTGGGGTGCAGGAATTCTGGCTACAACGTGTTGTAGCCATTGGTGTCAGTGATTCCTGGTACAAGAGGAAGCTAAGCAGTGACCTTTTTTCCAAAATGCAAAGTTAAGTAATGCTTAGGTGAGAGTAGTCAAAATCCCAAACTTTCATAAAATGTTACTGTTTGAACCACCAAATACCTCACTGGCTTGAAAAACCTCCTCATAATACTTTCCCTAGACACAGCACTGTCCATTCCCCCCCCCCAGAAATTCAGCTATGAAGCTATAAAACCTCAGCACAGTAGACCTCTCCTCCTTTGGAAAGACAGTACATACCTTAATGGTCTAAAGAGCTGACTTTGGACACGTTGGTTGGAATCTTAGCTCCATCACATACCACTTGCTGCTAAATGACCTTGGGATGGAAATTTACCTCTTTAAGCCTCAGAGAGGCTTTTAAAAAGGTGAAGAGATCAACAATTTTGAACCTGCTAAGAAGTCAAGGAAGGTCTTGACTTTGGATTTAGCAACCTGGAGTTCTTCAATGACTAGTGAAAACAACTTCAGACGAATGATGGAACTGGCTGAGAAAATGGAAGAGGCAGTGGCAGACAGAGATCATCCATTAAGAAAGGAAGGAGAGACAAAACAGTGGCTGCAGGATGAGATGGAGTGAGAGGAGAGACTGAGGGAGGTGTTATTTGTTGCCTGGATGGAAAGATTTGAGTAGGCTGAAAGCCCAAGGAGAAAGATATAGTTGGGAGGAAGAGGTTGCCAGACAAGGGAAGGGGAGAAGGGATAAAGTTCCTAACAAATGGGTAGGAATAAGAGAGGAGGAATTTGCCTCTGACAGGACATCCCTTTATTATAAAAGGAGATTGACTTATTATTTTATAATAAAAGGAGGAATAAAATATGTACAAATATAGGCAGATTTATACATTTGGTGTTGGAAAGATGAGGATTCCCATATAATGGCTTCTATACTGTCTACAAAGGAAGAGAAGAGGTCTCTGGCTAGGGGTGCAGCCTCTGGAAAGAGGTTAAGGTTTGGTATAATCCTTGTGAAGAACCACAGAAATGATCACAGAAACAGTAAATATGGTAGGCAGTTTTGAGGGCCCACTGAAATGTAATCACAAAATTACAGTGGAACAAAGCTGCTCTGCTGTACTACAGAGCCACAGATCACTCCTGCAGGTGGAGATGAATGAAAATGTAATTCTTTGGCACTGTTCCTTTCCTCTTTACCTAATAGTGGGACCTAAAATAGGTCCCCTCCACCATTCTCATTTCTTGGATGGATTCTTAAGTGCTAACAGGGGAAGAAATCAAACTGCATTTATTCTACACTAAATACATCTTATGGCTGGGAACAACTAGGAAAGGACTGGAAGTTTTCTAAAACTGAACCAGTGCTTAAGGCTACACTATTAATTTCTTATTGGAACAATCTGTCTTTAGAAAAACTTCTGACAAGAGACCAGAGGTATTAGAGTAGGCTTCCAGTTCTTTTATTTTTTTAAAAATATTTTATTTGTTTATTCATGAGAGACGGAGAGAGGCAAAGATATAGGCAGAAGGAGAAGCAGGCTCCATGCAGGGAACCCAACGTGGGACTCGCTCCTGGGTCTCCAGGATCACACCCTGGGCTGAAGGCAGCGCTAAACTGCTGAGCCACCTGGGCTGCCCAAGGCTTCCATTTCTAAGCAAAAATGTATAGAAACAAGTAGTAAACTGGAAATCTTTACCTTCACGTGTGTGAATTATTACTCTCTTAAATCAGAAAACACAAATATTCTTATGTTTGAAAATCAACTATGCAGAATTTTAATTTCTCAAAGTACACACTTATTTCTTGATGATGAGAACTCACTTATGTGATGCTTCCCAGGCTTCCTCTTCTTCTAGAAGATCTCTTATGATGTCTGAACTGGAACTAAAAGAACATGTACATCAATATTGTCAGACAATATAAAGACCATATGGTTCTGTTTATATGAAGTTCTAGAAAATGCAAACTAATCTACAGTGACAGAAAGCAAACTAGCAGACCAGTGATCATTCGCAGGGGGCAGGGGGTGGGCAAGAAGGAATTACAAAGTAGAAATTCTGGGAGTAGGTTCATCATCTTGAAAGTGAAGATGATTTCATAGCTGTATACAGGTATCAAAACTCATCAAATTGTGTTTTAAATATTTGCAGTTTATTATACATCAACTTCAGTAAAGGTGTAAAAAAAACTTAATACAAAAATAAAGAAAACAAATCATTAAGGCTTAAATAAATCCCTCACCATAAAACTTGCATTCAAATGGAATAGTCACAAGCCTTTTTAATCTCCCATGGCAACCAAAGATCAAATTGTGTTTTAAAAACTACTATCTGGTAATGACATTCACAAAAAACATTAAGTTCTTAAGTGACTTTTAGTTCTTTTGCAACCGAAGTAAAGTAAAAATTAATTAATTTGAACTGTGCTAATACTGGAATTTGTTACAACACAAATTAAAGTGTTGTGTAATCTTTAGTCTGTGAAGGGTACAAGGTAAATAAGGTTAAAGAGGGCACGTATTATTTCTTTATAAAAGGAAAAAGTGTTCCAAGGCTTTTAGCATCTTGTTCTTACCCAAATAAATTCTTACCAAATAAAAAAAAAGACGTACATCAATAGTGAAAAACCATTTCTTTAGGCATTCAAGACAAAGAATGTGAAGGGCATTGCATGGGACAATTCAAAAACTGGAGTCACTACCCCAGGGTTGAAATGGCTAAAACAAAGGAATAACTTTCTCTCAGGTAAGAAACAATAAGTTTGGGCATGTTTGTGCCAATCATTTTCTAACAATACTCAGAAAACCAAAGTTTAAAAATTATGGGGAATAAAGTGCCAATGAATCATTCTCAGCTATTGACAAATCACTTTGAAGCAACGTTTTCCTGTGCTGCATGAACAAAACACGGCAACAAAAATCAGTGAATACTGCTGTGCCAAATATTTTACTCAAGGTGTGCCCCTCAAATCCCAACCCTCTCAAGGAGGTAGATGCAGGAGCCCTTCTGACTATGGTTCATGTGTATGACAGCCTGTGTATGGTGGTTCCATTCGCAGAGCAGGCGTAGTGACCCTCCAATAGAGCTAGCTCAGTGGTTCTCCGGCATTTCGGGATAAGAGTCCTCATAGGGTAGCAGTAATACGTTTAGTGTTTGTGGCTTAAGAAAATAAATAATAAACTATTATAAATTTAGTAATACTTTTAGTCTATATTTGATTCATTACAGTGTCAGTGAAAAAACGGTAGTACCGGCATTTGTGAGACACCCTTTTTATGTCTAAAATGATTCTTGAAAAAAAATAAAAAATAAAATGATTCTTGATATGTATGTGCTCCTGCAGACCCACCAAATCATTCCTTCAGGTCCCTGGGTTGGGAAGCACTGATCTAAAGTATCAGAGCACCTAAACATCGACTAGCTCTTCTACATTTGAGGGTGCCCACCCCACCCCCGTGCAAATGCAAGTGCCCCAGAAAAATACAACATTCGTTTATCACTGGTAATTTTCACCTTAGTGTAAATTGCCTTAAAACAAACTTTCCCATTAAACAGCTAGCTAAATGTGGTTTTTATTAGGAGGGAAGAGAGAAAAGCAGAAGGTCCTTAAGGAGACACAAGGCAGATTTCACCAACTTTATGAATTTCCTAAGAGAGAGACCTTCATAGCCACTCACTAGGGAGGGCTAATATCCACTGTCACCTCTACTCCCACAGAAGCAATCTAACCTCTTCACTCCCAACATCCCAACCTCTGTTATTCCTTACTTCAACTACTACAACTTTATAAAGTAAACTGAAGTTGTTTAAATATAACTTTTTTTTTCCCTTTTCTATTCTTACATTGATACCATCACTGACTCTTCTTTACCTGGACACAGTGAGGGCAGCATTTCTCAACCTTTTTCATTCTCATCCCCCACCTAAGGAGTTTTACTTTTTTTTTTTTTTTTAAAGACTTTATTTATTCATGAGAGACACAGAGAGAAAGGGAGAGAGAGGCAGAGACACAGGCAGAGCAAGAAGCAGGCTCCCTGCAGGGAGTCTGACCTGGGACTGGATCCCAGGTCTCCAGGATCACACCCTGGGCTGAAGGCGGCGCTAAACCGCTGAGCCACCCGGGCTGCCTGCTTTTTTACTTTTTTTTTTTTTTTAAGATTTTATTTATTTATTTATGAGAAACAGAGAGAGAGAGAGAGAGAGAGAGAGAGAGAGAGGCAGAGACACAGGCAGAGGGAGAAGCAGGCTCCACGCAGGGAGCCTGATGTGGGACTTGATCCCAGGACTCCAGGATCACGCCCTGGGCCAAAGGCAGGCACTAAACCCCTGAGCCACCCAGGGATCCTCAGACTTTTTCTTTTTTTATAATTGCCCTTCCATGAGATTTTATTTTTTTTTTTAAAGATTTTATTTATTTATTCATGATAGTCACACACAGAGAGACAAAGAGGCAGAGACACAGGCAGAGGGAGAAGCAGGCTCCATGCAGGCAGCCCGACGTGGGATTCGATCCCGGGTCTCCAGGATTGCACCCCGGGCCAAAGGCAGGCGCCAAACCGCTGTGCCACCCAGGGATCCCTCCATGAGATTTTAATACTGAAATGTAATGTGTGTATGTTTATATATTGTACGTATGTGTCTGTGTGCATATATATGCTTTATACACAGAGTAAGGTTTTTTTTTTTTTTTTTGGAGGGGAAAGTTGTGGTTTTTTGCTTTGTTTTGTTTTTGCCATCCCACCTCTTCACTACCAAGAAGTATGTCCCATCCACTATGGAGAATCCATGGACTAAGAGAATGAGGGTTAAAGGGTGGTCATGCAGCTCTGGGTCCTGGTAGGTGTCACGGGGCTAGAAGAAATAAAGTGTGCTTGTTGCCAACACACATACAATTTTTTTTTTTTTTTTAAACAGTTAGGTTACAAAGCATCCCTCCTGTTCAGCTAAATAAGCAGGACAGCTAGGCCTGTCAACTAACTTAGTAGTCTTGTGGTCAATTTACCCAGGGCCTTTCAAATCACCAGGAGAAATCACTGATTTGTTAAAAGAAAATATTTGCAGTACATTAGTGACATAAACCTAAGTGGTTTTTGCTACACTATCTCAGTGAAAACAGATGGTAGAGGAGGCTCACAAAAAACACACCTCAAAAGTGGTTCGCAATCTCCTCTTGCTCTGTGACTTCAACACCCTTGACCAGCCACAGTGCCCAGCTCCCCAACTTCTTTCTTTTCACCCCAGCTTAGTCATAAACCTAAATGACAAAGTTTGGGAGGTCTGAAGTTTACCTACAGTGATATTTCAGGATTATCTGCTAGATTTCCTAATCTGAATCTAGTCACCACTAAGAAACTGACAGTTGGGGTGCCTGGGTGGCTCAGCTGGTTAAGCATCTGACTCGATTTCAGCTCAGGTCTGAACTCAGGGTTATGAGATCAAGTCCTTCTGAGTCGGGCTCACTGCTGAGTATAGAGCCTGCTTAAGATTCTCTCTCCCTCTCTCTCTGCCCCTCTCCCAACCCCAAAAAACAACTAAGAGTTAATACTACAATTAAAACAGCAGATAGACTTGTTCATTCCTTTTTAAAAAGTTACTTTAAAGTAATGTACTTACCATATTCTACTTAAAAAACACAGTTTTGAAATTACATATACAGCTTCACAAGTAGGATTTTACCAACAGACTACTAGGCACAACAGTTAATGTTACTAAAATTAACACTCAACAGATCTCTTCCTTATGGATAGAATTCATATTTTTGAAGTCTTACTCATTTTTATGCCTTGAAGATCAAAAATTCTTTTCATATACTTTTAGGACATCTAAGAATTCCTCCATAGGAGAAAACAAATTACTCACTCTGGTATACCAGAGGTCAGAGCATGTATGAGCCTACACAGCTATAGCTTTTAATTCTCACAAGAGCTTTGTCAGAGTAAATTTCAGCTCCTCTTCTACTTGGGTTTGGAACATTCTGGTAGATCATGCTTTAAGAAGCTCAGATACATGAAAGTCACAGCTCGCTATATAAGGGTGTTTAAACTGTTCCTCATGATGTTACCATCAGTCCAGGCTAGAGCAGAAATTATTCTGTAGAATGACTCATAGGCAAAAATACCAATCTTGAATTCTATGGAATTCCCAACCTCTGTTCAGAAAAGATTTAGATCTATTTAGAATACTGACACTTAATTTTTCATACCATTTATAAAATCTTTATTTTCAGCTCAAAATTTCAGGAGTGTAAGCTAAACTGTTTTTGGTTTGTTAATCATTCCAAACTGCCGTTCTTTTTTTTTTTTTTTTTTATGATTTCATGTATATTGAATTAAAAATCAACAGAGGACAAAGGGAAAAGGAAAAATAAAATAGAATCAGAAAGGATGACGAACACAAGAATTTGCCCAATCATAGAAATGAGTGCTGAGGGAGGATATTGGTGATGGGAACTGTGAATCTCTGGAAAGCAGTGATTGTGACACTGTGCTTTTTTTTTTTTTAAAATTAATTTTTATTTGTTTCAATTTACCAACATACAGAATAACACCCATTGCTCACCCCGTCAAAGTACCCCTCAAGCCCAACCCATTCACTCACACCACCCCCCACCCTCCTCCCCCTCCCACAACCCCCCTAGTTCATTTCCCATAGTTAAATCTTTATGTTCTGTCTCCCTTTCTGAGATTTCTCACTCATTTCCTTCTCCCTCCCTATATTTCCTTTCGCTAATTATTCGATATTCCCCAATAATGAGAACAACACTGTTTGTCTTCTCCTTACTAGTGCCAATACAAAAAGGGTTGCCAGATTCTCCTCTGGATTTTGATGAATCTTTCTCACATTTAATCTTTCATCTATGTTGATTATCTATTGTGTATGTGCAAG